GGGTCGCTATGAGTCGCAAGTGACTCGACAGCACATAACAACGAAAAACAACAAAGCTATAAACCTTTTGGGAAAGGCAGCGTATCTTTCTCTTTCTGAGAGGCTGGTGGATTTGAACTGCCAAACTGTGATTGGCAACTTGATAAATTATACACCACATCCCTGGGGCCCCTTTCTAGGAACCCTGAAGAGTTGCTGAATCTTTTTCTTTTAATACTCAGAATAGTTTTTAGTTCTAACACAGCCAGTATTTATACCCTTGATCAATTCTTTATCGCAGGAATTTCATAGTTCATATAATTGTCTGCTGTACTACAATTTTGATCTTTCATATTTAACATATATAACATTACCAGAACAATTATTCTGAAATAGATTAATTTTATTTCCTAGGCTTAAAATGTTTCAGACTCTCTATCAGCTATTGCATAAAGTCTATGTTCTCAGAGTAATTGCTTAGATTGTAATCAATTGTAAAGACAGATTGTAAAGTGTCAACTGCAATACTTTAGATTAATATCTTCCTGCTTTCTTTCATGATCTTTATAGTTTAGCCCTATTAAAATGGTTAGATTTTCACACTTGCATTATTTTAAGCTTCAATACTTACTCTCTCGTGTCCTATGAATCTTCTCTCTCTTTTAATAGAATTGATTGCTTATTATTATAACCTCTCCAGTTTCCCCTATTCCCAGAAGCTTTTCCCTTTTGATAATTTACCAAGGGAGCTCTGGAGACATAGTCTCCAGGGAATTGCACTGCTCACTCAAAGGCAGTACCTTTCTGGCAGTTCAAATTCACCAGTTGTCTGAGCAAGATATATGGACAATCTCTTATTTGATTTACAGTCTCTCAAAAGACCACTGGAAAGTCAGTTATGAGTTGGACTCAAGTGCAATGAGATCTTTAGTTATTCTCTAACTGTAGTCTGGGGATGATATAAATGGCTAATACACTCAACTCTTAATCAAAATTATCACAGCAACGGTTTTATTCCCAAATGAGATAGTATCAAGTGTTTCTACCTCTTCCATTTTACTTATTATTGCCAGGGCATGTGTTTTTCTTGTCATTTTTCACTTCTTGAGATTATAATCTAGGGATCATTGTTTTAATTATCTTTGTACTCTTTAAAAGGGATATGTGATTAGGTATTATTGTCATGACAGGACTCCGGAATGAAGGCTGCATAGTGGAGTGGACTTGGGGGGAGGTATTGTATAACAAGGACAGAATTTTTCTTTTCCTTTTCAAAGAGAAGAGTGAATTGAGGGGAGGGAAGGGTGGGCAGGGAGAAAAGTGCAACAATGAATGAATGGGAATCCTCAGTCTCTGTAAACTTTCATGAAAATTAATAATAATAAGAAGAAACCAAAAAAATACCTTTGTCCTCTAATCATGTAATTCATTTTTTTATCCAAATCACATAATTCTTTATAAAATGCTTAACATTTAATTAGTGCTCAACAAGTATTTATCTAATCACTAGTACCTCCATTTTCTTTTCTTTATTTTTCTAGAATTTAGCACACTATGTATAATTAATGATAATTTGTTGCTTCCTCTAGGGTGAACTTGCTTAGAAACATTTCGTTAGCTTTTTTGTTTTTTTTTTCAATAGGTGTTAAATGAATGATACAATGAGTTAATGAGAGATTAATACAAAAGTTTGTTATCCTTAGTTCTGGGTGGGTTTTTTTTTTTTTTTTAATTTGCTTAGCTTCAGTTTAGAAGCTAATAAAACTCATAACTTTTTTTCTTCCCTGATATGCATTCTGGTGCCACATCTACCTATCATGTTAATTCTCTTCATACTCCAAACCATCATTTATGGTGATTTCGCTTTTCTTTATATTTGTCTTTAATTTCTTCTACCCATCTTCCATTTCAATAAATCAGTCAGTGTTAAATCAAGATCTACACTGTTGCTTTATAGTTTTTCAATCAACAACAACAAAAAATACTCATTCAAGCAATTGTATGTAAGCATGTTGTATGTATTATCTTTATTTTTTTCCTTTTTAAAACTTATTGTAAGTTTACAGAGACTTTGGATTTCCATTCATTCATAGTTACACACTTTCCTCCCTGTGTTATCTTTCATTTTTAAGAATTTAATCTGCATACTAACCTGGAAGATAGACATTATTAATTGAGTTTTGCAAATAAGATAATCGTCTTTGGAATCATGTTCATAGTTACCTAATGTGCACTTAGGAATTGGATGCAAGTCTGATAACAAAGCTTACGTCCTTTTCACTCTGCTTCTTTTTCAGCTAAGATGTCTTATTCATTTAGGTATATATTATTCAGAAAATGTCAAAATCTTATTGCTTTGTTTCTCTCTTCCTACCTTTTGTTATTAGATGCTCTTTAGTTAATTCTCAATAATGTTGACCCTATGGGTACATGCTAGAACTGCTACATGGGGTGTTCAAGTCTTTGACTTCCTAGAAGCAGTTGGCATTCCCCTCTTCCAAGGTACCCATAGGTGAGTTTGGCTACCAACTATTCATCTAGTGGTTGAGTGCTTAACTGGTCTTCTTACTTTCATCTTGATTCTTCCTTTATATTCTGCAATTTCTATGAAACACTCTCTGTTCTGTTTCTCTATTTCTAAGCATAATAAAACAATTTAAAAAAAATTAGAAAACTTTACAGAACCAAAGCTAGAGCCTTCACCCAAGTTTGTTTAAGGACTGAAGGTTGAGACATTATAATTGGTGGGATTATGAGCTTTGTAACAGTGGTCTAAAGCTGCAAGGCTGATGACTGAGAAGCCTGCAAGCTCATTTTGGAAACAGACATTGAATAAGTAATTGTATCCTGCTGCCAACCTGAATTATAACCTTTGACTTCTTTAACAAAAGTCATCATAGTTGGGGGGAAAATATCTTCATTAATGCTTACATGTATACTGAATCTGTTCATGGTACTTCCTTAAATTCAAACTTTTAAGTACAGTAAGATTAGAGCACCTCTCATGATTGGACAGTCTTCCTCTAGTATGATACTATTTGTATAATTATGTAACTGTTTTTATTGTTCATAGGTAGTTGCCTTTACACATGGCAGCACTGAAAGTCAAATACCCTTTTTGTTAACAGACTTTTTATCAGTGCTCCCTATACACATAAAAAATAGATGTTGATAGTGGTGATGGTGATAATATATGGATGTTTACCTTTTGCTCAACTCAACTTAACTCAACTCAACTCAACTCAAATCATTGCCTTTGAGTCAGAACTGACTCAGAGCTAACCCTCCAACGGGTTTTCCGAGGTTGTAATTTGCATGGGAGGAGATTGCCCATTTTTCTCCAAAGGACCAGCTAATAAATTTGAAACTCCTACCTTTAGGTTGGCGGCAAACTAATTACACACTAAGTCACTAGAGCTACCTTAAACTTGTAGTCTGTTGCTGTCTGTCCTAGAGTTGAAACTGACCCCATAGTTGACCCTCCAGTGAGTTTTCAGAGGCAGTTAATCACGCAGGAGTTTGTTTCTTTTGTAATCTTGAATTATGTCTTACAAGCCAGTCATCATCAACTATTTGACTTGAGCAAACAATCTCATTGCTTATTCAGATACCACACAAGTAAGGGAAATGAACATGTTTAAGATTATTTTAATTTTATTTGAATTTGGCTTGCTTGATGTTAACTGTGTGGTATGAATTCCCTAATAACCGTTTTCTCAAATTCAAGCTATGCAAAAATATACTGAATATTACTTCAAATGTTCAAGTGCATGTCAAGCAAGACAATGCCATTGAGACTTCAGTGATCCAAAGATGGGATTGTATAATTGAGGGAAATGAGCAAAAAGCTATTGAAAACAATAAAGATACAGTGGCATGTTATATGAAATGAGCATGTCAGGAGTTAACAGGATGATGATTTATTTATACAGATAGCAATTAGAATATTATTGAAGTTGTTAAACAGTCTGTAATACTTAGAATTAATCCACAGGGTACTGTGCTTTTCATATCCGTTTAGCTATATCTTACCAGCCTATTAATTTGAGCTATTTCACAGCAGTATAGAATATTATTTTCTCAGCAATTCACACTAAGTTGAAAGAATATTCTTAAACTACTCTACTTTTCTATTCTTAATTTTTCAATAGTAAGAAAATAAGCACCTTGAAAAATTGATTATGCATCCATCAAAATTAACTATTTACTCACATCAAACTTTTTATAATGAATTTAAATATTGCAAAGAACTTTCTCTCATTATTCCTTTTTTTCGCCCTCTACAAAATGAAACCTGTTCTACCTAGGGTCACTATGAGTCGCAAGCGACTTGACGGCACATAACAACAACAACACAACAAAATGAAACCAGTACTCCTAGAGTCAATTTAAATTCATGTGACCTTATATGTTTCACATTAGAACTGGCCAAAGGGCTTTTAATGATGTGGTCTTTTGAATGCAGATTGACAAACCCTTCCTCTGAGGCACCCCTTGGGTGGATTCAAACAACTGATTTTCAGTTACTAGTTTGAATGTTTGATTCGGTGACTGGGATAATTGGAATGGGAGTGTCAGAGACAGTGTGATTGGCACAGGATAGAGTGGAGTTTAGGGCTGTTGTACATAGGGTTGCTATGAGTCGCAAGGGACTCAACTGCACATAACAACAACAACAGTTTGAATGTTAATCCTTTCACCACCTAGGGACTTCTCTATTTGTTGATATCATTGTAAGTCCTTAAGTTAAAACTGTCATGTAGCTGACCACCTAGTGGGTTTCCAGAGGCAGTTAATTTCATGGGAGGAGATTGTCCATCTTTCTCCCATGATGTCATACTTTAGTCATTTTCAAAGTTTTACCATCGATCTTGTTTTCAGTAATGAAATAATTTCTTGATCTCAATTTTAAGGCTTAGTCATCTGGCAAGTAACACTTCTCTTTTCATATTACTTTCACTCTCACATTTGACACATTGAGATGACCAACCTAGTTTACTTCAACATTTACCTCTCCTACCTTCTTGGCTTTCTCATTTATCAAGTAACAGATCAGGTTTTTGGTGTCTGCCCTCTTAGGCACATGTGTTTTGTCCCCAGCCCCACCCCTACTCTGCCAGTATCCATCTGAATTCCCTCTCTTTGCCCCTCCAGCACATCACTCACCCGGCCCCTAGCCAGCCCTGGTTTGATGGCTCCGGCTTCACCCACCTCTATTCACCCAGTCTCCTGTGATATTGGTTTTCCTGCACAGCATGACTGAGAAGTTCTCCTGCTCACGTCTTCTCTCCTTTGGTCTATTGTCCTCCTTTGTCTCAAAAGTCATGTAACACAAGGCAAGGATTTTGAGGCTTCATCTCACATATTTTGGGCAAGTGGCCGGGAGGGACCAGTCCTTGGAGACTGATATCATGCTTGGAAAGGTGGAGAAACAGCACAGGAGAAGAAGAGCCAGGATGAGATGGATGAGATGGACTCAGTTTATGGAGAAATGGGATTAGGTCTGTCAGAGATGATGAGACCAGCTCAGGATAGGGCAGGTTTCAGAGCTAGTGTATATCAGGTTGCTATGAGTCACAGGTGACTCATGGCATACAACCACCACCCTCTTTCTTTGACTTTGCTTGCTTCCTTACAGAATATAGTTATATTTAATCAAAACAATCACTAACTTGAAGTACTTTCTTTTTCTTAATGAATTTTAATGAAAGTTTACAGAGACTTTGGATTTTATTCATTCAGTGTTGCACAGTTTCCTCCCTGCCCACCTCCCTCCCCAGTTCATATTTCTCTTTGAAAAGTGAAAAAAAATTTTTTAATTATTAAAAACAATCCCTCTTTCTGCAGTCTACTCCACTGTGCAGCTTTCATTTTGGACTTTTGTCATAATAATCATACCTAATCATATACCTTATTTAAAAACGTCTTTCCCTCATCTGTTTCAATTCAGTATACATTATGTAGTTCCTCTTTTCTTAGTTTCCCTTCAACCCCAATTTCAGTCCCATTTTACAACAGTGGCCCTATCCAGTATTTGTCCTTTTGTGATTGAGATATTTCACTCAGCATAATATCCTCCAGGGTCCCCCATTTTGTTGTATAATAATTCATGAGTTCCTTGTTTTTCAATGCAGTGAAGTATTCCATTGTGTGAATATACCACAGCTTCTCTATCCATTTGTCTGTTGTTGGGTACTTGGATTGTTTCCAACTCTTCGCCATTGTGAACAAAGCAGCAATAAACATGGATGTGCATATATCTGTTTAGGTGGTAGTTATGATTTCTTTTGGTATATTTCCAGTAGTGGAATTGCTTGATCAAATGATATTTCAATTTCCAACTTTTTGAGAAAGTGCCCTACTGTCACCAACAGTGCACTCCCCACAACAGTGAATAAGTTTCTCTGTAACCTCACCAGCATTTGTTCTTTGCTGTTCTATTCTGTTAAATTTTGCTATTCTTACTAGAGTGAGATGGTATCTCATAGTAGTTTAGATTTGCATCTCTTTTAGAGCTAGGGATTTTGAACATCTTTTCATGTGTTTTCGCGATCTGGATGTCTTCTTTGGTGAAGTGTCTGTTCATATCCTGTGCCCATTTTTCAACTGGATTGTTTACCTTTATCTTGTGGTGTTGAAGCACTTTGATTAATTAGTTTCTATGACTTGAAAAGACCTATAATTTATTAGAATATTTTATATCAAGGACTTAGCAACTGAATACGACTCAAGTCTCTCTAGGAGAGAATCCTGGAGTGATGACATCTCTTTAAGAAAAAGATTGGCGTCTTTAATAGCTTATAGAATATGGTCTTCATTAAAATAATCTAGGATATAGATACAGAGTTCCAATAGCCACTTCACTATTACTAGACAGAACATTTATTATATTAGAAAAAGAAAGGTAGTAAATAGTGCTATAGATTTTATATAAATATATGACAATGTGGAAACAGAACCACTGAAATGGCCTTAATGAAAAAGGACTGAAGTTAGTTGTTGTTGTTCGGTATTGTCTAGTTGACTCAAACTCATAGTTTACATAAGAGAATAAAATCCTTTCTGATTCCATGCCATCTTCACAAGTACGCCTGTGCTCAAGCCTACTGTTGTATTCATTGTGTCAACCCATCTCTTTGAGGGTCTTTCTAACTCTCCAGTTTTCTAAGCATGACTCCTTTATCTAAGGACCTTCTTTGTATCATACTCAAAATAAACCTTTGTCGTGACTCACTGAGAGCCCATGAGCAACAGATTTGAACACTGTCCTATCCTATGCTATTATTATCATCATCTCTGACATACCTGAGCATATTACCACAGTTACTGTGTCAATCCATCTTGTTGGGAGTCATCCTCTCTTTGGTTGATTCTCTACCTTCCCAAGTATGATGTCTCTTTCCAAGAATTAGCCCATCTTAACAGCATGTCCAGAGTATGTGAGATGAACCTTCAGCATTCTAGCCCCTTAGGAAGACTCTGGCTGTGCTTTCTCTAAGACATCTCTCTGTTTGGTCTTCTGGCTGTCCGTTGTACATTCAGTATTCTTCTTCAACACCACAACTCAAAGGCATCAATTCTTCTTCTTCATACTTATTCATATTCTAGCTCTCTGATGCTTAGGAGGTGATTAAAAAGACCATGATTTGAATCGGGTTGATCTTGGTCTTTAAACTGACATCATTGTTTTTCAGGACTTTGGAAATGTCCCTGACAGCATATTTTCCAATGCAATATGTCTCCTGATCTCCTGACTGCTGGTACCAAGATTGTTGGTTGTAAATCCAAATAAGATAATGACAACGTCAATCTTTTCTCCAACTAACATGATGTTGTCTATTGGACCAGTTGTGAAGATTTTTGTCCTCTCACTATCAGAAGTCAAAACTAAGCCAGGTGCTGATTGAGGAACAGACCATCAATTACTTACGTTCACGCTCAAATTGAAGGTGAACAAAATTAATACAATTCCAAAAGAACCAACATACAACCTTAGTCTATCCCACCAGAATTTAAAAACTATCTCAAGAACAAGTTTGAGACACAGTTTAAAATCAGAAAAGTTGTGCTTCAAGGTTAGATCATGTCTCCATACCTGCTCATTTTGTATGTTGAGAAAAACCTTTCAGGAATTAATAAATTTATGAAAAAGAATGCGGCATCAGGACTAGAAGACTCATCAGCAACTTGTATTATGCAGATGATACCTTTCTTATTGATAATAAAGGCAATTTAAAACATTTACTGGAGATGTTCAAAGACCACAGCCTTCAGCATGGATTGCATCTCAACCTCAAGAAAAACAAAAATTTTCTCCATTGATTCAATAAGAAAGATCATGATGGAGAAAAGATTGAAGTTGTCAAGATTTCATTCACTTTCCTTGGATCCACAGGTTTTGATCTGTGATCTGTAGGATAGCTTTGAATCATAATTGACTTTATGACATTTAACAACAAAAGCATCAACATCCTCAGAATAGAACTTTTGACAAGTTGATTGTCACTAGCGACTCTTTACTAAGACTCTCTTGTCACTAGTAACTCTTCACTAAGACAATGTTGTTAGGAGTTTATGAACCTGTCAAAATTAATAGGATAGATCTTACAAAAAAATTATTTTTAGTATAATATCGATTCTAGTGACACTGAGAATATCTTGTCTAGTATAAGCTTTGGTTTTAGTCTTATTCTTCAACTGTAAATACTTTCCAGTAAAATCCTTTTATGGAAGTTAAAGAGAGAGGTTGAAAAGGAATAGAGGAAGAAATCTGAATGTTGTAGGTGCTAAGTGTCAGGATTCCCCAAAGCTTTCTTACTAATATTAACTTCCTGAGCTTGGGCGCAATCTGACAATTAGTTAGAGGTAATCAAAAGAAGTCTCCAGACTGGCATAGCTGCTCTTCAGTACTTTGAAGAGGTCTCTGACAGCAGATTTTCCCAGTGCAGTTTGTCTTCTAATTTCCTGGCTGCTGGTACCAAGAGTGTTGATTGAATAGCCAAGCAAACTGAAGCTGTCAACAATCTCAATCTCTTCACCATCCATCATGATGATGCCAGTGTGCCCAGTGATGAGAATCTGGATTGGGGTTTTTTTTTGTCTTTTTTTTTTATGTTGAGCTTCAATCCATATTGAAGTCTGCAGTGCTTCACCTTCTGCAGCAAGCACTTCAGGTCCTCCTCAGTTTCTGTAAGCAGAGTTATGTCATCTGCATAACGCAGATTGTTGATAAGTCTACCTCTAATCCTGTTACTACAGTTCTCCTCATAAAATGCTCCTGATAAAGGCCTTGGTCTTTGCAATTACTTGCCATGCATCAGAAAGCTGGACAATGACTAGGGATGATAGAAGGAGAATTGATGCCTTTGAGCGGTGGTGCTAGAGAAGAGTATTGAATATACCATGACTGCTGAGAGAACAAACAAGTTTGTCCTGGAGAGGGTAAAGTCAGGCTGCTCCTTGGAGACAAGGATTCTGAAGATTCGTCTGACATACTTTGGACATATTGCAAGGCAACATCAGTCCTTGGAGAGGGACATCATGCTTGGGAGGGTGGAGGGATAGTGCAGGAGAGGAAGACCCTTGATGAGATGGATTGATTCAGTCACTGGGGTAATGAGGATAGGCGTATCAGAGACAATAAGATTGGCAAGGGATAGGGACAGGTTTAGGGCTGTTGTACCTATATAGAGTCACTGAGTTGGAGGTGACTTGATGGTACATAACAGCAACAACAACAACATTCAAAAGAAGAAACAACAAAAAAAATGGAATCTTGAGATGTATTCTGTGCATTCAAGTTTCACTTACAGATCTGACTTTTTTTATTTTTGGCAGAAGATATATTTTTATGACTTTTAATAATTATGAAATTTTTTTAATAATCATATTTGTTTGCATTATTCTTTACAGTGTGAGGAGAAAAGCAGAGCATGAGGCTGAAATCAAGGCTTTGCTGAAACTGAAGGCAATGAATAATGAACTGTTTGTACAGCTATACAAGGAAGCTTTTCAGGTCGGCGCAATGTTCCACCTAACCAAGTTTCAGACAGACACTCTGGAAGCGAAAATGGCAGAAGTGAGAAAAAAATTCAAGGTTATGTATCACTGTCTTCTATGTTCTAAAAAAAATGTGAATTTTATTGATGCAATCTTGATAGCTAAGTTTAAATTGAAAGGATGGTAATTATTTTAAGAAATCTTTGCTTGTGATAAATCAGAAAGAAAAAAATAACTAAATAGAAAATATTAAAGGTCAATGTAGTTGATCAACATTTGTGACCACTCTTTGCCATTGTGGTGTGAAGGCACCTGAAGTATCAAGAGAAAAGTGCATAATTCAGCCTTATGTTATACAGTTAACACACAGTATGAGGTATGGTGGCCTAGAGGTAAGAAGCTACTCTGCAATCCCAAAGGCATGCGGTTCAAATCCACCAGCTGTTGTTCCATGGGAGAAAGATCGAAAATCTCCTCCCATGTGATTAAACTGCCTCTGACAACGTGCTGGAGAGTCAGCTATGGGTTGATTCTGACTAGGTGGTACACCACCACCACCACCACCACCACCACCACCACCACCACAATAACAACAACAATATGAGCTCTGATAGGGAGCTCTGGTGGCCTAGTGGTTGGTTGTTCTAGTAATCCAAACATTTTTCCAGTTCTAAATTTTCAAAGCTTTATTTAAAAATAAACAACAAAATCCTTACCTCTGAGGAGTGGTTTTGAAGTTTGTGAATAGTTATTTCTCTGCATCATGATCTCATAGTTGCCTAATCCCAATAGAATCTAACTTGGAGCTGTGGTGACATAGTGCATTATGAGTTGCTATGGAAAAGTTGTTCAATTCTACTAGTACTAGTAGTAGTAGTGGTAGTTCAATTCTACTAGCTATCCTTGGCAGATAGGCAGCCAATCTCCTGCCACACAATTTACGGTCTCTGAAAGCCCTCTGGAGGGTCAGCTGTGACTTGACAGCATGTAACAGCAACAACACCAGCTCTGATGACATAACTCTTAAACATTTTGTTGCTATTTGAAAGGTCAGTTCATTTAACTGACCAAGGGACTTTATGGAAGAAAGAGATGTGGCAATCTATTGCTATAAAAATGTATAGCTTTGGAAATTCTCTGTATGGGAAGTTCTGCTTTGTATTGTGGTGTTCCTAGGAGTCTGAATGAACTCGCTGGCACACAAGTTTTTTATGAAGTTCTTTTATGACTGAGAAGGTCCTTTGGACACAATGTCACATAAGAATAGTGAGCACCTGGCAATAAGGGAGATGCAAATAAAAACCACAGTGAGGTTTTATCTCACTCCAGTAACAGTGGCAAAGTTTAACAGGACTGCAGGTAATAGATGTTGGAGAGGATGTGGCAAGAAAGGAACTCTTAAGCATTGGTGGGATTGTAAAATGGTGCAACCATTCTGGAAGGCAGTTTGACGCTTCCTCAAAAAGCTGAACATAGAAATTCCATATGACCCAGCTATTCCACTACTTGGAATATACCCTGAAAATATGAGAACTGAGGCACAAATGGAGATTTGTACACCAGTGTTCATAGCAGCATTATCATCATCACAGGAACATGGAAACAGCCCAAATGTTCAACCACAATGAACAGATTGAGAAATTATGGTAGCATAAGGATCCAAGAGGGGTGGGAGAGGTTGGTAGCAGAGGGATGAGGATGTGCAGGGTGAAGGGGGAGATTAATCATGTGGTTGCACAATTTGATAGGTGAGGAAGTTAGGGAAATGGAAAGAATTTGTTCTTGAAAATAATGTATTCAAATTTTGTAAGTAAATTAGTAATAGAAAATTTAAAAAATAGTGAGAACGCATATTGAATCAGCAATGTATAGGATTCCATCTATTGTCAAACCTTCAGCGTCTAAAGATCTGCCACTGTGTTTCCAAGGTGTAGATCTCTTTAGGAGGATGTTGTTTTGTTATGTGCTGTTGAGTTGCTTGCGACTTATAGCAACCCTATGTACAACAGCCCTAAACCCTATCCTATCCCTTGTTAATCTTATTGTCTCTGAAATGCCTATCCCCGTTTACCCCAGTGACTGAATCAATCCTTCTCATTAAGTGTCTTCCTCTCCTGCACTGTCCCTCCAACCTCCCTAGCATGACATTCCTCTCCAAGGACTGATCCCGCCTTTGAACATGTGCAAATAATGTCAGATGAAGCTTCAGAATTCTTGCCTCCCGGTCTAGTTTTACTCTCTAGGACAAACCTGTTTTGTTCTCCTGGCAGTCCAGGGTATATTTAATACTCTTCTCCAGCACCACAGCACAAAGACATTGATTCTCCTTCTGTTATCCTTAGTCATTGTCCAGATTTCTGATGCATAGCAAGTTATTGCAAACACTATGGCCTGGATCAAGCACACCTTAATCACCAGACTGACATTTCCCATCTTTCGTCTAAGAACAATTAGCACATTTGAACTGTGAAATATTCTGATGCAACTAATAATGCCACCAGAACTCCACACTAGATTCCGCAGCACAAGAGACTGCACAGACCGTAATACAGAGACGTGATTGCTCACACTGATGAGCAAAACCACTCCTCAGAGGTGAAATGAATAGGTGCTTCCTCCTTTTCTGGTATAGAGACTTGTATATTCAACCTGTTTCATTGTATCTAAGAATTTATTTTAAGAGACTAATTCTGTCCATACTTTGGCATGTGGTCAAGAGGGACTGATCCTTGGAAAAGAATATGATGCTCAGAAGGGTGGAGGGACAGTGCAGGAAAGGAAAACCCTGGTGAGATGCATTGATACAATGACTGAGACAATGGGGGTTCCTGTGTCAGAAGCAGTGAGACTGGCTCAGGACAGAATAGGTTTTAGAGCTGCTGTACGTATGGTCACGTTGAGTCGCAGGAGATTCAATGGCACATAACAACAGCAATAATTCTATCCATCATAGTTTTCATTAATTGACATTTTCTTATTAAATACTTAAGAATACAGAATAGCCTGTGAAATAAAACTGTAATTTCTACACTATTGCAGAATCTGTCTAGTATTATCTTCATGAACAACTTCTCCTGGAGTTCTTTAAATTTATACCAGTTACTGTTTCTGAACTGGTTGATTGAGGCATTTTCCTCGCACTGAGTTTGAGATTTCGTTGTCTCTTACTAGACGAGCAAAAGAATATGTCCACTATCATTAAAGCCTATGGGAAGCTGGTCAGTCTGCTTGCTAAATCTTCTCCCCCACCTAAGCTTCTGAACTTGGCCTCTGCCTTCTCAGGTCATTTTAACTATCACAGAAGTCCCCAGGAGCAATGAGTCCTTTCATCTTCTTGTTCTTGAGTATCATTGGAACCAACTCATAGCTGACCCTCCAGTGAGTTTTCAGAGGCAGTAAATCACACAGGAGGGGATTGCCTATCCTTCTGTAGAGCAGCTTGTGAATTTTAATTGTGTACCTTCAAGATTGCAGCACAACTTCTTACTGGGCCACCAAAGCTCCCTTCTATCATTTTAGTGGAGCCCCAATCAACAACTCAAGTATTTTGAGACTCTTTGTCTATAGTCTCGAAGGATAGTTGGGCGGATCCATCCTAGATACAGAAGGATGTATTTTCCTCTTTTCCCATTTAGGCCCACAGTCTTAAAATATCCAGGATCTGCTTAATGAGGAAATTAGGAGGGTGTGTTGACTTCTCTCAAATAACTCAGTGCTTCTGATACTAAAAACCAGTTTCACTCTAATGGGTTTAATCCATAGATTAATGCTATAATTTGGCCAGAACAATAAGGTACAATCTATAGACTCCAAGAAACAAATGAAAATAGTACATGATTGAAAATAATTTGTTCTATTAAATATAATGTCACCAGATGGTCATTGATTTGACAGCAACTCATCACAACAAGAACAAGAACAAGCACAAGAACAAGAACAAGGCACAGGGGAATATCATTTAAAAAAAAACTACCTGGAGGTTGTTACATAGCAAAGATGACTGCGCTGCCGTTTTAACCTGTCCAGGAATATTTTGCTAATTGATTGCCCTACTGATGGACTATTAATCAGTTGTCTTACCACCACCCCACATACTCCTCAGCTCCAATCAACACCAAAGCATTCTCCTCATCCTTGTCACCCCTTGAAATGAATTTGAGAGGCAACGAGGCTGATTAAAGAGAAAAATCCTGCCATGAGATGGCAGTGTTGCACAATAAGATATGTATTGGAGCCGAGATTTCACACAGCAGGCAGCCCCTCACTACAGAGGGGATTTTCCATTAACAAGAAAAGTTAGTGGAAGAGAAAGAGAGCAAATGAGCTTCTGAAGGAGAGAGGGAAGGGAATGTTTTCATGCTGATCTGACTTTCCTCAGGAGTAAGGTGGACCGAAGTAAGTTACAACCGACACAGAGTCGAACTTCCAACAGACTTTTAGAGGTTGTAAATCTTACAGAAGGAGATGGCCCCTCTTTCTCCTATAGGGAAGCTGGTATATCTGAACCACATGCTTCTGTGTTGGCAGCGCAGCACCTTATGATTAGACCACCAGCGTCCCCTTTGTTTTTCCTATGGCTAGCCTATGTTGATGGGAATAAATGGATGTATAGTGAATTATTCTTTCAATTTCTCTGAATGCATGAAATTTTTCATAATTGAAAATAAAAAGGATTCACTGTAAACCTTACAGATGATTAGGGAAGGAAGACTAATACTTTCAAGGTTAGCATGAGTACACAAGTGCAGCAAAAAGTGTATAAATGTGGGAAGAAAAGAATCAATGTGAAGGTTGCGTGGAACTTGAAATGTACTTTTCTGTAAATGATTTTGTTAGCCTGCTGGAGCCTATTTAGTAACCTTTTATGTGGTTATTCTAGTAGTGCCCTGGGACTGACCCACCATTTTTAACAATATTTTTTATTAGATACTACTTTAAAGATTTGGGTAAAACTACTTTTGTGTCTGTCATCAACCCATGGATCACATTTCCTCAGATACTGGGAGCAGAGATTTAAAAGCAGACCTAAGTTTGAGTTTCACGGCATGAAAAATAGGTTCACCACCCTTATCTCTAAGAAGTGTTCTGATTAAAATT